ACTCCTAAAGCATAAGAAGTTAAATTAAGAATCAATAAATGGTGGGCTGGAGGTATAGCTCAGTTGGTAGAATGCTTGCTCACATGCACAAGGCCCTGGGTTCAATCCCCAGCACCCCACAAAAAAAGAATCAATAAATGGGATAGATTCAAACTAAAAAGCTTTTTTCTCACAAAGGAAACAGTCAATAATATGAAGAGAGAGCCTGCAGAATGTGAGAAAATCTTTACCACATGCACCTCAGATAGAGCACTCATATCCAGGATATATAAAGAACTAAAAAAAAACCAAAAACTTAATACCAAAAATAAATAAATAACCCAATCAATTAATTGGCTAAGGAACGGACAGACACTTCACAGAAGAAGAAATACAGTCAACAAATACATGAAAAACTGTTCATCAATTCTAGCAATTAGAGAAACGCAAATCAAACTACTTTAAGATTTCATCTCATTCCAGTCAGAATGGCAATTATCAAGAATACATGCAGGGCTGGGATTGTGGCTCAGCAGTAGAGCTCTCACCTAGCATGGGTGGGACCCAGGTTCGATTCTCAGCACCACATAAAAAAAAATAAAGGCATTGTGTTGTGTCCATCTACAAAAAAGATTCATTCTCTCTCTCTCTCTCTCTCTCTCTCTCTCTCTCTCTCTCTCTCTCTCCTTTAAAAAAAAAAAGAATATATGCAATAGTAAGTGTTGGTGAGGATGTGGAAAAAGAGATTCACTCACACATTTCTGGTGGGATTGCAAATTGGTGTAACCACTATGGAAAGCAGTATGGATATTTCTCAGAAAACTTGGAATGGAACTACCATTTAACCCAGCTATCCCATTCCTCAGTTTATACTCAAAGGACTTAAAATCAGCATACTACAGTGATGCAGCCACATCAATGTTAATAGCAGCTCAATTCATGCTAGCTAAACTATGGAACCAACTTAGAGGTCCTGCAACAGTTTGAATGGATAAAGAAAATGTAGTATATGCACACAATGGAATATCACTCAGCCTTAAAGAAGAATGGAATTTGCAGGTAAATGGATGGAACTAGAGAATATCATGCTAAGTGAAATAAGCCAATCCCCCCAAAACAAAGGTCAAATGTTTTCTCTGATAAGCAGATGGTGATCTATAGTGTGTGTGTGTGGGGGAATGGTAGGGATTGTGAGAGGAGAGTGAAGGGAGGGGTGGGGTGGTGGGGATGGGACAGACATTGTTACACTATATACAGATATGATTACACAACCAGTGTGACTCAGCACCGTGTACAACCAGAGGAATGAGAAGTTATGCTCCATTTGTGTACCATGTGTCAAAATGCATTCTACTGACATGTATTAGAACAAATTCTTAAAAATTTAAAAAAAAGGCTGAGTGTGTGGCTTAGTAGTGAAGCCCCTGGGTTCAATCATTAGTACCAGAAAAAGAATTGTATTGTAAGTTGACAGTTTGTAATTGTACGTATTAAAGAGATACATAGTGCTGGGCCGGGTGGCCCATGCCTGTAATCCCAGCAGCTTCGGAGTCTGAGACAGGAGAATCGCAAGTTCAAAGCCAGCCTCAGCAACAGCAAGGCACCGAGCAACTCAGTGAGACCCTATCTCTAAATAAAATGCAAAATAGGGCTGGGGATGTGGCTCAGTGATCGAGTGCCCCTGAGTTCAACTCCCTGTACCAAAAAAAAAAAAAAATCAGCAGGGTACAGTGGCGCACTCCTATAATCCCAGCAACTCAGGAGACTGAAACAGGAGGATCAGGAACTTAGTGGGGCACTAAGTAACTCAGTGAGACCCTGTCTCTAAATAAAATATAAAAAAGGGCTGGGGACGTGGCTCAGTAGTTAAGTGTTCCTGAGTCCCTGAGACCCGTCCCCCAAAAAAGAATGGTTGTAATGGCTATGCTTCAGCACCATCGTAAAGTTGAAAAATCATAATCGTAAGTCAAAGATCACCACATCCAACACATTATTATTATTATTATTATTATTATTATTACTATTACTATTATTATTTGTGGTGCTAGGTCCCAGGGCACCCTACCACTGAACTACGTCCCCAACCCTTTTTATTTTGAGACAGGATCTTACTAAGTTTTCCAAGTTGAATTCAAATTTGCAATCCTCCTGCTTCAGCCTCCCAAGTTGCTGGGACTTCAGGTGTGTGTCACCACACGCAGGCGCAATCATTAACTACACTGTTATGACTACAGTCACCGTGCTATGCAAGACATCTCAACTCATTCCTTATTCTAACTGAAAATTTTTACCCTTTGACCAACATCCCTTCATTTTTCCTGCCCCTCAAGTGTGTGTGCCTTTTTAAAAGGGTGATTAGATATGTCTCCCAAGGGGATGACATTTGAACAAAATCCTGAAGGAGACAAGAGCGAGCCCTGCCAGATCTGCAGAGAAATGTTCCCGTCAAAGGGAACAACAGAAGTAGAGTCCTGGGGTGGGAAGATTCTTGGTGTCTCCAAAGGACGGTGTGGCCGGGGTGCAAAAAGTAAAGGGACAATAGGTTTGTGTTTGTGCACACCCTGTGAACTTTTTAAAGACCATCTTTTCAGGAATATTTGTATAGCAAACAGCCTTGGAAGAGAGAGTACCTCTCTCCTGGCACAGGGCAGATTTACTTGCTGTCCAGAGATAATGTCTCCATTCAGGGCAAAGGTTGGGCAGATTTGCCTGCAGCCCTCTGGGGGAGCCCCAGCTTTCCTGAATTCAGGTTTCCTTGGCTACAATACACAACATCCCTGGGGATTGGCCTCCACATGCCCCCAGGGGACCTTCGCCACAACAGACACCCATGGACATAACACTCGGCTTGCTTATTGTGCTGCGATGAAGTCCTTTGTCTCTGACCCTAGAATTTCATGTCTTCCATGAGCATCCTTGAACTGTGGCCGGCTAACCTGCTCATCATACGTAAGGCCACAGAGATCCTTCACAGTTCTTGATAGAGAGACGAGATCATTGACAAGGACCGAATGAACAATGGAACAAATGAATTGGGATTCAGAGAGCATTCTTCCTCAAGTGCAGAAGATGAGCAATGACATTGCATACAGAATCGGTCACTACCATGGAGGTCCAATGGGCCCAAGGATGACCACAGAAGGGATAGAAGGAAGCAAGTAGAGCCTGCTCACACTGTAGTTAGTGTGTGAAAATATGGGGATCACACACTTCCTGGCTGAAGAACTAAAGAGAGACGATTTGGAGGAGGAGGATGGTGCAGAAGCCAGCATCCCAATCCTGGCTCCCAGAGCCCGCAGCAGACTGCTCAGACAGAAGAACTTACCACCCGGGCCAGGCCTTCAGGACCAAAAGAGAGAAAGAAAGACAGGGGGCATCCCGCCATCACCCTCTGACTCCRCAGGTCCTGTGTCACCTGCTTCTCTCACCTCCCCAGTGGGGGCTCGCCTCCCGCTGGGCTGCCTCACACTCCCCATCATCAGACTTGACAGACAACAGAGCCCGGGTGTGGGTTTAGAGGTGTGATCAGTGGATTCCTTGTGAGGGGAGGAGAGTGAGCCCCAGGGGACCAGGAGGCCAAGGCCCAGTTTCCTTGGCTGTCCCCTGTGGAGGGCGGCAGTCCTGTTTCCTCAAATGTGTCTGTCCCTGGCTGGGAAGGAAACACCTGGGTGTGGAAGAGCCCCKTGGGGATGAGAAGCATTGTTCCCAGGGGCCAGGGGCCTTTTGTGGAACCTGAGGGGCCTGGATACTGAGGCACCAGATGGTGGGTATAGGAGCTGGGCATTCACCTCCTGCCACTCAGCCGAGGAGGTCTCTTGGAGACAGCGTGGGGACAGGCCACCGGCCTTAGCGGTGTGGCTTAACATCCCACACCAGAATGCCTGGGTTCCAATCTGCTCTGTCACTAGGGCCACCCTTGAAGCTGGTTGCTTCAAGCCTCTGTGTCCTCGTTTCCCTATGGGTAAAGGAGAGAGAGCAGCACCTCCCTCACAGGATTGTCATGGGGACTCACCAAGGGGATGTTTGCAAACCACTTAGCGCTAAATAAACGAACACAACAGGCCCACACCTGGGAGTCCTCCGCCTGCTCTACTCCACTGGAGCCAAATGGGGTGGCCGTTCTCTGATCCAACCTCTGCGCCCACTTTCCTGCCTCTGTGGGTTTGTGCACTCTGTCCCCCTCATCTGGAAAGTCTCTTGCCCCATTTCTACACCCCAGGCCTTTCCTCTCCCTGAAGGCTCAGCTCAGGTGTCCCAGAGCCCTCCTTGGTCCCCACACCCGGGGGGCTCTCTCTCCCCCACTCCTACACACCAGGGACCCTCATGGCCGTGTCTCAACTCCCAGGCCAGGTGGCCATCTCCTCCAGGACAGAGACCAGGCCTCGGTCAGGCTCTGGCACCAGCTGCACAGAGAAAGATGCTTGCTCCACGTGTACAGAGAAAATCAAGCCAGATCAGCCAGACTGCCACTGAATTCCCCTGGAGAGGGGCGCACAGGTGATGTCCCAGAAGGGACACAAACAGGGACCGGGATGACTGACTTGGAGTCCTCACTCATTCTGCAATCTTTAGCAAGTCACCTCTCTCAGCCTCCGTCTCCTGATCCAGGACCTGGGTGTTAAAACACGTATCCATCTGACCTCCAACTGCTGCTGAGAATCAAATGGGCCGAGGGGACCCCACAGCACGGGGCATGTAGAATGAGCCCTGTCATCCCTGGCATATACAAAAGTCAAGGTCAAGGGAGCAGAGCTGCCCTTACAGGGTCCTGTGTGTTTCTTCATTGGAAAATCAGAACCAGGCAGAGGGGTCCTAAGGACCATCTTAGCTGGGTAACTCTTTTCAGAAAGGTTGGCCTCAGCAGCCCAAGAGTTGGGCTACTAAGACCCGGGGACTCTCAGCCCCTCTGCGTCCCTCTTTCCCAACCCTTCCACCAGCTCTGCCCCRTTGAGTCTCTCCATACTCCCTCCCTGGAGACCTCTCCCTCCCTGGAGACCCCTCCCTCCCCAGCCAGCACCTACCTTGGCTTGGCCACAGCTGCTCCACTCCCCCAACCCTCCAGCTGGTTAGCTCCCCGCCTCGCACCCAGCGACACTAACCACCCCAGGGACCAGGACGTCTCGGAGGATCCTCTATCTGACTTTAGTCCTGACTGCTGCCTACAGATCTGCAGAGAACAGCGGCCACAGGCCTGCCCTGTCCCTCCTCTTCCTTCCCCTTCCCCAAAGCCTTCGAAGCTCCTCCCAGGCACATCCTGCTAGAGGCTGTTTTCTGAAGCTGCGTCTGTGGTCACCCCCCCCCGCCCCCCACACTGGAGCTTCTTTATTGTGATCTGGTGCAAGGGGGCAGGACAGGGCACCTCCACAGGGATCCACTCCTCGGGTGCTGATGGGGTGGGGATGCAGGAGCCCTGACCTCTCTTCTGAGCTCCAGACTTGCTTTCTCCTCCCGGGTCATCACCGGCCACGTGTCCACCTCTGACTCGACAGATATAAACCAACTCATCATTTTCCCTCTAAAGCTGCTTTTTGGTTTCTTCCTTCGGAACCCCAAACCTGGGGGTCATCCTAGCACCTTCCCCCCTTATCTGTTGCATCTAAGCTGCATCAAGTCCTGTCCATATCTCATGAATCCTCCACTGAGTCCCATYCCCATGGTTGTCACTGCCTCATCAGGCCACCATGTCCTTCTGACACACTGCAACAGCCGGAGGTCTCCTTTTAACCCTGCCCCCATACCACAACCAAGGGCCTTTTTCACATAGTAAAATGCAAATCTGATCAGGTTGCACCCCTGCTACAACCTTCAATGGCTCCCTATTACTTTCATGATTATGGCCAAACTCTCCTTAGTGTGACTTTCAAGACTCTTCTTGATGTAGTTTCTCCTTAATCTCCAATCTTGTGTTTTAGCCCCTCGATTCAGCCCTTCCTAGAAGTACTGTAGTTTTCGACAATCCAGGCTCTGGGATTTTCTTCCCAACCCGACTCTTCTCCTGGCTCACCCTTGCCATCCTTCCCCATAGGGGAAGAGGAAAAAGAAGTCAAAGGAKAAAATGTTCAAAGGAGAGAATGGATCAAAGATGAGTGCTAGGCAAGGACAGTTGGGGGTAGCAGATCAACTCTAAGATGACATGTGAGTTTATCACATCGTTTCTCTGTTTTCTTTTTGTCATATTTTGAATTCAAGCATTATTTGGGGGGGAGTCTCCAACACATTTATAGAACTTTGAAAAAGCCACAAACTCTATGTCCTCATCCTATTTGGCCTAATGGCTCTGGAGAGAGACAGATTGCTGGAAGCAAGATTTGAGTGCCTGGATTCAGCTATACCTGAAACCCTGACACCTTATCTATCCTTGAACTGTTCAACTATGGACCCAATAAATTCATAATCTTTTTTTTTTATTTTGGGAGGATAACTGTAAATTGAACTGTAAGTTAAGCCCAGGGGTACTTAACCACTGAGTCACATTCCCAGCCCTTTTTATTTTAAAACAGGTTCTCACTAAGTTGCTTAGGGCCCCATTCAGTTGCTGAGACTGGCCTCTAACTCATCCTCCTGCCTCAGTCTCCCAAGCCACTGGGATTATAGGCATGTGCCTCCACATCCAGCATTTTTTATTTTTCTTTTTATTGTTCCTGATCTTTTTTTTTTTTTTTTTTTTTTTTGGATTAGGCCTCTTTGAGTGGCGTTTGTCTCTTGTAATCAAAGGTGCTCTGGGGCTATGAAATCCCTGATTTTTTTTTTTTCCTGCAAGGTCCTTACTAGGTTCTGTTGTGACCTCTCATTTTGCAGAGGAAATGATTTGAAAAATCATTTACTCATGGCTCTGCCTCCCGCTGACAACACTGTCTTTTCTGTTCATGTGGCTGGAATCACATTCCACCTGGCATCTCTGTATTAGAGTTCTTGGGTCACATGCCTGCCTGTCCCTTGTCCCTCCCCATCCTGTCCCCTCCCCACATTAACTGTTTGGGAGAGCCGTGACCAGGTCGTACTCATCATTCTGTCCATCACAGGAGAAGAGAAAGAGAATGCATGGCTCATTAAATAAAGCAAACAGATGAATGAATGAATGAATGAATGAGTGTGGGAACGAACCAACCCAGGACGTGATCGAGGATCAAGAACTCAGTCCCCCGCAGGCTGGAGACTTGGCAGCAGCCACGAGGTGTGGCCTGCCACGGGCAGTCCCCTGTGCTTATCAGCTTTGGCCTAACTGAATCGGAAATCACACGCCGAGGCTGGCTTCTTGTGGCTGCGCTGCGCTTCTTATCAAACGGTGGCTGACTCTGCAACTGCTTTGGGTGTGGCCACCATGGGGGTGACAGCCGGTGACTGTAGACAGTCCCAGAGTTGTCCCTGGCAAAGAGGATCTGAGGCACCTTCATGGCTGAGGTCACACACTCGTGGTGGCCGGCCAGGAACAAGAGTCAGAGCGACATGCCCACTCTTAACCAACCCCGTGACTTTCCTTCTCTCCACTCACTGTCCTTAGAGTTGGTTTAGCTGGGTTTTCCAGTCTGTGCTGTTACCAGGTTCCCTGTGTTTGTGCCTGTCTCCCGACAACCTCACCCCCAGGCCGACAAGGCCAAGAGCAGGACTCAGCCATGACGGTGACAATGAAGCCTCCCTGCGTTTATTGCTCTAGATCCCGGATTACCTGGTCCACTCATGGAAACGAAGCCATCCTGGGGTGATCCGTGCCCAAGATATGGAAGCAGGTGGGCTCATCATTATCACCACGCCTCTGCCCCCATCTGCACCCTCCTCACCAGCTAAGGGTCCCCCCCTCCCGATGGCCCCACTGCACACAGCTGCTACACTTCTCAGGGTCCCCTGTCCTATGAGAAGCAAATACTTCTGTTCCGTCCTTATTCCTCTTTCCAGGAGAACTGTTCTTTCTAGGCGAAAACCAACAACGAAACACCCTCTAAGCCCTTTTCCTATCCATTTCAAAGCAGTCAGGAGCTTTAAACAAAAATGAAGTCCTCTTGCAATTGTGAGCACGTCCCCRTGAAGAACAGATACTGGCACCTGGCATTGGTGATCAGGGTGGAGTCTGGTGAGAATTATTTGCTTTGGACCAGGGAAACCCAGGATCACTGTACCCTTGCTTTCAGCTCTGCCTCCTGTGGGATGTGTCTCTGGGACCATTTAGCCTCTCACACCTGATTCTTCATCTCAGTTTTCAAAGAAATGAACTTACACGAAACACTAAGAAGCAATGTAAAATTCCCTGAGGGTTGCATCTGGAGATGCAGGGAGAGTATATTGCATAACCATCCACTCACTAGTTCCTGGTTTTTCTCTCCTAGATCCGCCTCCCCAGACATATCCAGGTCCTCTTTGAAATATACTTAGGGGCTGGGGTTGTGGCTCAGTGGTAGAGTACTTGCCTAGCATGTGTGAAGCACCAAGTTCGGTCCTCAGCCCCGTATACAAAAATAAATAAATGAAATAAAGTTCTTGTGTCCATCTACAACTAATTTTTTTAAAGGCATTCAGAGCACTCCCGTTCCATTCTGTTCTCACCTTTTAGTTTTGCTACCCCAAACTCATGAACCACCATTCAAAGCCCAGATGGCTCTCTGGTTGGTAGAACCCATTCTTAGAAAATGGTGAGAAGTCAATGAACCCGAAAACCATTCTAGAAACACATTTTACTTCTGTTAAACAATAGGTACAGTTATGGAGGTGGAGAAACTAGAGTTGAAAGACTCACATCCCTGGTGGAGGTGGGATTAGAACCYGGCACCATCCAGGCCACCTGCCCCCCAGCAGGCTGAGCCAGTCAGCATTCCAAATCTTTCCACCTCACTCCAGGAAGCCAAGGCAGTGGCACAGCGSAGACCCACCTGCTTCTCAGGCAATCCCCTCCAGTCCTCACACCCACCCCCCAGGGAAGCAGGTGGAGACAGTGTCCTAATTTAAACCAGTGGTTTCCAAAGTGAGGTCCCTGGAGCCACAGCATCAGCGTCACCTGGGAATCTGTTAGTGACTAGTACTGTCTGCTGGGGCCATGGAAACGGAGAAACAGGACAGTTTGGGAATTTTCTATCCTTTACTTCTGGTAGTATAATTCTGCAGGAGGTGTGTGTGTGTGCAGAATTGGGACAAATTAAGGTCATAAGTTTATAGGAAGTAGGTTTATGCTTCATATCCAGCCACTCAGCTTTTCCATCATTTTTTTTTTTTTGAGGGAGGTTTGGTGGGGGGAAGCTGAGAGGAGAGGCAATTTGATTTTAAGCACCATTAATGTTTTTTTTTTTAAGTTTTGATATCTAAAACAATTACTTAAGTAATTCATAAAAAATACTCAAACATTATAGGAGTATTCAGAGTGGAAAGAGAAATCCCTTTCACACACACACACACACACACACACACACACACACAGACACACACTTCTGACTAACAAATCTTAAAGGAGACGAAGGGGACCTATGTGAATGACAAGTGTGCCTTCTTTGTGCTTAGAAAGAAGGGACCGGGACAGCTGGAGACACACTTTCTCACTGACTTGGGTATTCTCTGTGCCTCAGTTTCTCCATCATGTACACACGCATATGCCGTACCCAAAGATGGTGGTGGCACCCTCCCATTGCCCTTACTGGCTGAAGAGAAGGGGGGGTCCTGTGAAATTTATTCTGGTCTCTAGGATGTGTCTACAAGAATTCCAAGCCAGGTGAAAATCACCCTGCTTTCTACTATTCCTGTCTACTCACATTAGGGAAATCAATAGGTTCTAGAAATTAAACATGTCCCTTTGTAATCTAGAGCACGTTACATTTTTGGAAACTATATTTGGGTGCTTTCCCTAGTGCCTGTCCTAGGTAGGACTTCTTCCCGCAAATCTCACAGTCTCTTTCAGTAAAGAGAGGAGGAGGACACAGTGGACCCTATTCTGTCCCTGTGATCTGTCCCTGGGATATCTTCACTTCTCCACCATACAGGGGGTTCCAGGGCGCATATTTTTTACATGGAGCAACAGAAGTATAAAACTCTTTTATGAATTACATAAAAATATTAKAAAAAATAGAAAAAAAGAGAGTCCCCCTTCCCCCCCCCCAATTTCTTTTCTGTCCCCCTCAACAC